CACACACACACACACACACACACACACACACACACACACACGAAAATGAATGTCACCCAACACTCACACTCAGGAAGACAGTGGTGATGTGGGAGGCGTGCTGCCAGCAGCTGTCTCAGTACCTGGTTCGAAAGGTTCATCTTGTATGGAAGTTGCTTGAGTTCGAGAGGGAGACAAAAGGAGAACAGACAGGTGGAGTTTTACTCGTGTTCAGGGATRAGAACAGACAGCCGTCAGAGGCTGCAGTCATGCCAGTCAAACATGGGAAATATTTACTATTCCGACCCGGAGAAGAATTTCTCCTAACATCAGTGGAGCTGGTGCACTGATCTCTCTGGGGACGGGCGGTTTCTAGCATAGCTTGCATCTAATAGATATTCAGTATACAGTTCATATATATATATATAAAAAAATAAAAATTCTATTGTGACATTTTGCCTGCTTGTTTGCTGCTGCAAAAACTCGCTTAAGGCAAGTTGCTAATGACTTGTTTACCATATTCCCCAACCTTTACACCTCACGCTGACGTTTCTGTGGGTATTTTTGTGTGTAACTTTGCTTAAACCAGTGGGTGCTGATTCTAAATCTGCTGTGGTTTGGAATAATTTCTGGCCAGTGCTGAAGTGAGTCAGAGAAACTGATGACAAGGAGGAGGAGGAGGCGAGGAAAAAAAAATCCAGAAAAATATCTAACACGGTAGATATTTCATCATATTCTTAGCAGACGTATATAATTCATCAAAGTTTGCAACGTTGTTTTAACACAAGGACAAGTTAAACGTTGTAGAAAAGCAAAATAAACAAAAAAGATTTGATATAAATGACTTTTTGATTGAAATATTTCAACTTTAGAAGATATGTCTTCCGTCTGCTGCAGGTCAATATTGGTGTTCTTGTTAGAATGACTGCAGTAAGTTGGTTACAGTACAAACTTTCAACAGATTGCATCATTCTTCCTCAGAAGAACCACTGAGTTGTTTATAGAAAAAAAACCTAAAAATACTCCCCTCATCCTGTATATTAGACAGCAGCGCTGAGAGGCGAGCAAAATGCCACGTTTGGAAGAATAGTAGCAGCAGCTTTCTGTTTTCTAAAGCACACGGCTGCTGTTGAAAGCCGAGGCTTCTTTGCTGAGGCGGTGCATTCAGGCRATGATGACTCAGTTTTTCTTCTCTCCGCTCACCTGTGTTCTCGCTGCTTATCTGTGGCTAACACAGTGGTACAACACAGGTGTTTAAGGCTGAGCTATTTCTGTCCCTCTCCGTACATGTGACTACGGGCCCCATATCAGCAGTCTATCTGGAGGCGGCTGTGGCTCGCTACCCAGGTGGCCACCATACTGCCGAGTGGAAACAGCTTGATCTGCCGGGTGACAAAACACAATGTGTCGCGCTGCGTGGCGCTGAGCATACTGTTAGTTTAAAAAAACGCCTTACAATTAAACATTTGACAGCAATTAATGTTCGTTAAACTTTCACACACTGACAAAATTGAAACCGTCTAATATTGTGCGGGCCGCTCTCGTGCTGCCCAAACAACCAAACCGTTGGAGCTGGATTACATARGAGGGAAGTCTTGGCACCAAGATAATAGTTTCCTTGGAGCTGAGAGGTGATGGGGCAGCTACATATCTTTAGTTCTCACTTAAGGAGTTTTGTGGTTTGACGGTGGCGGTGTTAAAGAGGTGCCAGCTGGAAGTGCGAGAATTTTTAGTCGTGCAATAAATTAACRATTATTGATATCAAAGCCAAAGATTTTCCAGCAGATCATCAAACTGCAAAAAGATTATTCATTTAGTCACATTTAACCTTATCTGTCAAAGAGCTTAATGCTGAGAAACTGTAAAATATTGATCTATAAAGCTTGGACTTTTATTCCAGCAGTACTTGTTTCAGCTCCTGCGATTGGTTTGCTAATAAAATGATGTCATCCCCACAACAGCTAAAAATATTCTCTAACTATAAAATGATTTATGAAGCAGTAAATTTAGTCTTTAAAACCCTACAAAAATCAGGACATGAAGAACTGTAAACTATAAAAGCCTACAGTAAAGGGCCCCATATATAATACTGCATTTTGACTTKTTGAGCACTTACAGTGAGTACTGTCAGAGTATTAAAAGCCACAAAACAATAATCTTTGTTTAAAACTTGAAAACTTTATTTTCCCATAAAAGCAGTCATTGGGCGAGAGTGGCCCTGTCCTTAACAGGGCCACACATTAAGACAAATGAGACCAACCACACGCACTTAGGGTCGAATTAGAGTCACTAAAATGCTTGTTTATAGGCTTTAATGTTCTTCTTTTGGCTGCTCCATCTACAAGCATCGCCACAATGAGTGAACTTGCCCTTCCTAATGCAACCCGGGCTCAAACCTGCTGCCTCAGGATCATGAGACCGCAGCACTACCACTGAGCTACCTTAAACTTTTTTTTTGCAGAAAAACTGTCTAAATTGGGCCTTAAGGTTGCTATTTTTCTGTTTCATGTTTGTGTAATTGGGTTTAGTTCTGCAAAAATTTGGCTTAAACCCATCTTTGTGCTGCCCTCTACAGTTGAAGGGTTTCTATTGCAGTCAAAATTTCCTATTGCTTACAACGGTACAGCTTTTATGTCTACATCACAGCCCCCATGTTCGGATATCAAAGCCATTGCCTCGCCAGCACCAGCTTTGTGTATAGCTGAGTCAGCGTCTTGAGCCAGCAACTTGAACTGATAAGGCTCAGACCGGGGGGTTGAAAAATCCTCCACCTCAAAAGACTGTGCAGCCACGTTCCCTCGTCCTGACCACAGCCCCACGTAACCTCCTCCACTCATCCCCACGCTTGACCATCCCTCTTAGTGTCCCTTGGCACCGCCCACTTTGTTGGAATTTTTCAAAATTGGGGTGGGGGGGGGGGGGGGGGGGGTATGCTTTTCTGCATTTACTGTAAAGCCGGAACTATGAACCCTTGCTTACAGTTAATAAAACAATCAACATATTGTATTAGTCCAAACTCCACTGCAGTTCTGCTAAGTTAACGGTCTCCTCAGGCGTTGCTATAAATTTGTTGCATTATTCAGTCCCAGCTTGAGTCTTACTGGGGTCATTCTGATCATGTCCTCGGCCCTGCTGCACAGGAGAGATACTGCAATAAAGACAACTGAAGAGTGAGTGAAAAAGGAGGAACAAACACTTGTTTTTTAGGCTGTGTACGCCCCGGGGGCCACTAGTGCTTAGAAACTGCAAGATTTTTTGGTGAGGCGAGGAACATCCTTCTGTTGTGTTTACATTTCTTGCTGCATAGCCCGAAGCGTGTTCCTCAGCTGGGCAACTGGGCTCAGAGATGCTCACGTTAAATGTGCCGCTCACCAAMTGAGAGCACAGTCAGTTGCTCTGATGGGATGCTGGGATAATTAATGAACAGACGGGCGAGGCCTGCATCTAAAAATCCAGTTAGATCACAGGTCAGGCTTTAGGTGTCATTAGTTAAGATGTGAATGCATTTAAGTGAGCCCCGTGTGGCCGGGTTTTTGGCGACATAATAAATTACTGAGGTGAACCTTACCGTGAGCTCGAGAACTTCATTGAACAGACCGTTGCGCTTGCTGTGGAGGAAGGCACTCGAGCTTCCCGTCTTGGATAGTCGTATCCTGGCCAGACGGGCTTTCTGCCAAGCAAAGAACAACATAAAAAAAGAAATCATGTTACTGAGAGTCTGAACCACATCCTGAATCTGGATGATTGAGTATCATCTCAGACATTGYGCTGATTGGAGCTTCAGCATGCCTGATGTTCCAGTTGTGATCCTATTGATCACTTCAAACGTGCACTACTAAAGTATTCACTCTGATCCCCAGAAATACTTGKGAATTATTTATGGTGACTGTACGAGAACACTTTGCTTGGCTTGGAAATCAGTACGAGTGGCAGCTTTTAGTGGAGAAGGTAAATCCTGCGTAAATCATTCCACTATGTGTCATGCTGTGAATAATATCAATGGAAATGCAGCTTTAGTCATCAGACAAGTTTAGGGGGCAATGTATTGTTTCTTCATCTCAAGTCATTCAGATTCTTGTGTTAGGCAGTCAGTAATAGAGAGGAACAAGAAAGAGAAGGAACACAAGAACATCTTTGTGTGTTCTTTCAATAAAACAGATGGCATTATATAATTACACTCAGTAATATAATGATTTTTTAAACCACGTGTGTCAAAATCAAGACCCGTGGGCCATATGTAGTTCGCCACAGCCTTTTATGTGGCCCAGCAAGAGCTTTAAAGATATATTAATGTCTTAAAATAAGCTGCTTTAAAGCCAGCATTGAACAAAAACCATTTCTCCCATAAAGCATGTCGATTATTTTACCCACAAAATGACACCATCCCACCACTAGGTGAAGGAACACAGGGTTCAAAGGTAGCCAGCAAAGTTTGCTGTGTAAAATCACTTTTTTACTGCATTTTCACCTTCCTACCTTTGCTACAGCTCTGTTGTGCTGGGAAGTGGGGATTTCCCACTTATAAATCAGAAATTTCAACTGTGGTAATTTTTTTTTGGAAAGTGGGAGAGTTCAGAATTTAAGACTCAACTCAACTGTGTTAAACACGAAATGTCAAAGTTAACTACAAATGGCCCTTTGATGGCAACCACAATGCTCATGTGGCCCTTGGTGAAAATGARTTTGACACCCATGTTTTAAAATCTCAGAGTGGTTGATGGGTATTTAAAGGTTGGGGTTTTCAAATTTTTGATGAATTCAAAGTCTGAATCAATTTAAAAGTCAAATATTTGCAATTTAATGTTAGTAATGTCCCACAAAAGTTAGAACTCTAAAGTGTGTTTATGGCATACACACAGCAGAGGGCTGAACAAGACATACAAACAGTTGTCTTCTATTAAGTTAGAGAGAATAATGACTTTAAAAAGAGCCACACTCCACGGCTGGCTGATTAAAATTGGTCAGCTTATTAATCAGTCTTAGCTACTAGCTGCCACTGCTAGCCACAGAGAACCATCAAGCAAGAAACATCAAAATTTCCACCTAACTTAATAAAGGCAAAACAAATCCCCAAGTCCATTGTAACTTCTATTGCAAAACATTTGCATCTGCATTGATTGATCCCACCCCTAATAAGAATGCAATTATACTGGTGGTTCAAATCCAGCCTTCAGTGGTAACGAGTCTAAAAAGGTGATGCATAAATAGCAGTGGAAGAATGTATTAAGTTTTTTTCCATCATGTGTCCACAAAATGTTTGAAAATATCTCCAACATCATGTTATCATGTTTATACTATGTTGTTACGTTGTTTAGGATGTCTTCAGTAAACTTCTCAGTTATGTGAAAATACATTTTAATGGTAAAGGTAGGAGTCACTCACATTGTAAAAAAATACAAAAAAGGTTGTTTGTTGGTTGTTAAACACAGAAGTGTGTTTTTCACAAGTTAATAAAACAACTGACAGAACCATCGAAGACGAATTTCAGAAATATAATGTGATCTGTCAGACTCTGTCTGTGGATGGGCACTTGTGCATTACCATCCATCCATCCATCCATCCATCCATCCATCCATCCATCCATCCATCCATCCATCCATCCATCCATCCATCCATCCATCCATCCTCTTTACCAGCTTTCCCTTTTCAGGTCGTGGGGGTTGCTGGTGCCTGTCACCAGCAGTCACTGAGAGGTGAGTTAAACCCTGACAGGTAACAGTTCCATCACAGGACCACATAAAGACAAACAACCTACAATTTAAAGTTAAATTTAAAGTTAAATACAATTTAAAGTTAAATAAAGTTAAAACACCAATGAACATAAGATACATACATAGATACACACACACACACACCTAAATTAATAAATAAATCAGCTGATAAAGTGTGTTGGAAGGTGTATCTGATGCCAACACGCATTTATAGCTGGAACAATTTTTCTTTC